TCTCTCAACGATATACTGCCCTCCAGTACTCCATTCATCACTATTCGTAGTATATTATATCCTGATTTCTCTCAGGTGTCTTCTAATATCATTGTTTTAAATTTGCTTACCGTATCCAACATCGATCATTCTCTCATGTCTTGCACAGCATACGTGTTGCCGAACCTCTTCCCTGTGTGTTCTACTTTCGTTGCCTTCATTCTCGTCGCCGATCGCTGAAACAGAAACAACCCCAAAAACGATAACGAAAGAACGTGATTCATTCGATATTTATCATATTATTCTTTGTATTATTCAATATGTTGTTCCCTTATATGACGATAAATATAATATATATATAAGTTGATCAAAAGATAAAATGGTAGTTGAAGTGAAGACGCGGAAATTGGAGTAGAAAAGTACATAGCGGATGAATCAGAAAGAAAAAGTGCGATGCGGTGCCTACCTAATCGCAAATTGGCGAGGCAAACTAAGGTGAAGCCACCGAATACGGCCCACCGACTTCTCGTGATTTGTATTCGCATCGGTACGAATAGCGATGAACGTAAATCGGTCGAATACGATTTATCGTGGCGCAAATGTAGATTTGAAAACAAAAAGTTTGTGTATCGAGAATGCACGGGTTGTTACCGTTTAAATAATACGTATAGCGTTTACTGATATTCTCTAAACGTAGATCTCTATAACGAAAAAGACAAAATGCATCAACGCGTGGACGAAATCCTGTTAATTTGTCACAATGATTATTATTTCATTACTCTATGTATGTTCGCGCGCGGATGACTAGAAGATTCGTGGTATAAGGAATACTCTTGGGCTCGCACGCACACGACATGCAAAGCGGTAGTCCAGAGAGGACGCACCGTGCGATCGATCACGATCGGTTGTTGCCCACGCAGGTTGCGATCTGCGAGAAGACTGGCCGTCTGGAAGCCGCTGGATCTCGCTCAGACGGAGAGGCGTCCGGCTGACAGGCGGATCTCTATTAATCTCGTTTGGTACAGGAACGTCGGCCCGCTTCGTGACGGCTTCGTCCATCCATCGGTCTTTTGCCTCTTGCCTGCCGCAATCGCTGATGCGGCTGGTGATGCTGATTTTATGCTCCATCGAATCTGATTCATCTCGTCTGGCTGCAAACCTCCGACATTCCACATATCCAATTTTCCTTTATCTTATATAATAAGCATTCTATTTAATTTTCAACAAATCTAATTTAAAAAATAACGCCAATAAAATGGATTTCAGCTATTTCATAAATTAAAATCGATTTTGAATTATTTGTTATCCTAACCTTTAGATTAAACTGTTAATCTTTCTTGGTAATCTGCTCAATGCAATATCTCATTTTTTTTTTTTTTTATCTTTTATATTCTTATAAAATTTTGTAAATCCCAATGTATTAGAACGTAATATTCTAAGTTTGAAAAAAAAAAGAAAAAAATTTTAAAAAGAGAAAATGATATATCGTTCTTATTTCGCATATTTTCGTGATAGAGTACAAAGTAAGTTTATCATTTAAGCTCGCTATACACGAGCGATGTTATTGTAATTTCTTTCCACGGTTAGATAGATTTATGCTTTTAATGATATAATGGTCACAATCGTGCGATCTTGTTACGAAACTACGAAAGCGCCGAACTGTTGCGAATCCGAAGCAGGGTCGCGTTGCTCATGTGCATCATATGTGTGTGTATTGTGTGTGTGTGTGCGCGCGCGCGCGTGTGTATATATATATATATATATTATACTTAGGCGAAATAAATACATATGGAATGGGAGGAAAGAGAGAGGAGAAATTACATTTTTTTACATTCTTACATTTTATTTAAAAATTTTGAAATTTTTATCTTGAAATTTTTTTTTATTATTTATTAGTTTTCTTTTTTATCCTTTATAGTTATTGATAAACTAATTCATAAAATTTTTTAAAAGTATAATCTAATATTGTTTAGCTATTACTAAAGAATCATTAAAAATTTTAAATTCTTTCAAAATAATATCTTTCTATTAATAAATGAAATAAATATTTTATTTAGTATTTATTGAAATAATTAATTAACATCATAATTAATTGAATGTCTCTATAACTATTAAATATTCTATTATATAGTTTAAATATTGTTATAGTTTAAGTTATTTTGTTATATTATTATAATCACGTGTATCTTAAAATATCTTAAAAATTTATTACTTTTTGTCTCGTGTTCATATTGCTAACACGTGCATCGTAAATTTCAAATAGATCGATTGATTAGAAATATTTTCATAGAATTTTATAATTTAAATCTATTTCGATATTAAAAATTACGAATTAGGAACGTTAATACATTCATATACATTTAAAAAAACATATGTTTTTTATTTAATCTATGATATTTTCATAATATTTATAGGTTATGTCTTTTCAATTAAATATCTATTTATTATGTTTTAAAAAATTATGTTACGAATTATAACAGAATAAAGATTCCTCATAAATTTAATCTTATCGATTATTTTTATTTTTTCAGAATGACTTCAAAGGTAAAAGAAAGTGGAAGAAAAAGTCTTTCTTCTTGGATGACATGTGAAATATGTCAGAGTATTTTATCACAAAAAGATTTAGAAATACATCATATTAATTGCCCACCTAATTTTGAAACCTGGAATCATGATTTCATTAATAATAATGTATTATATAGTACTGTAGAAACATATAATCCATCAGGTATATATATGTATAGATTTTATATTTATTATTATTCTACCTTTTTTTATATAAATGTTTCTTGCATAGAACAGCCAAAAAATATACATGTAAGGACATTTGATGATATGGTATTTATATCACAGTCTGCTTTGCAATTGTGTGAAATTGCAATAGGAGATTCTGTTCTTGTAATTGTTGGAGAAAACAAAGTTGTTAAAACTGCATGGCCAACTAAAGATAAAAGTTTAACGAGTGTCTCAATAACAAAACACGGTAATAACAAAATATTTTTTATTGAATATATTATTTCCAATAATTTTTTATTATTATATATTTCTTATAGCAATAGAATTGAATAATCTTCGAGGTTTAGTCAAGATTCAAAAATTAGATTGTTTTAATGGTGCCAAGGAATTTATAATTTGTAATGTTGGAAAACACACATTGCCAGAAGTAACTATAGAACTTAACATAATACTTAAAAATTATAATGAACAAAAAATATTTGCTGTAGGTAATAAATTCAGTATACCTTTTTATGGCAAGAGATTAATTTATAAAATTATCAAAGTTATATCAGATAATTGTGAAGAAAATATTAATTTGACTCAACAGTTTAAGCGATTGAATTTTACTGATCAAGTACATGATATCAAATTTTATAAAGCATTTTATAATACAAAATGGACAATTTTAAATGAAGAACAAAAAAATAAACAGGAAGAATACAAAAAAATTAAATATAAAATACAAGATATTGGAGGATATGACAAAGTAATAGAAGATATCAAAGATGTTCTTGATATTGGTCTTGGTAAATCTCAAAATCTTGGTGATTTTTACATTAGTAAAGGAATATTATTATATGGTACTGCTGGTGTCGGTAAATCAATTATTTCTAATGCTTTAATATCAGAATATGACATCAATTCCGTCACTATTTACAGTTCAGATATATATAGTAAATCTCTAGGAGAGACAGAAAAAAAATTGCAAGATATTTTCATGGAAGCCAAAGCTAAAGCTCCAAGTATTATTTTAATAGAGGAAATTGATAGTTTATGTCCTAAACGAAGTACTTCAAGTACAGATCATGAAAGAAGAGTACTTTCACAATTGATTACACTTTTTGATGACATACAAAATACAAATAATAATGTAGTTATACTTGCTACAACTTCAAAATTAGATCTTGTAGATAGTTCTCTTAGAAGACCTGGTAGAATAGACAAAGAATTCGAAATTTATGTACCTACTCCCAGTATGCGCGCAGATATATTTACAAAAATGTTATCAAAAATACCAAATACTTTATCTTTAGAAGATATACAAAATATTGCATTTGTCACTCATGGCTTTGTTGGCGCCGACTTATACGGTTTATGTTCTCAAGCAATTTTAAATGTTGTAAAGCGTCAACCGAAAACAAATATTGTTACTGATTTTTCGACCAAAATAACGTTATCAGATTTTAATCGTGCTTTGACTGTTATAAAACCATCCGCTATGAAAGAAGTTTTAATAGAAGTACCAAATGTTCGATGGTCAGATATAGGAGGACAAAAAGACTTAAAATTAAAATTAAAACAAGCTATCGAATGGCCATTATGCCATCCTGAAGTATTTTTCAGAATGGGTATAACTCCACCTAAAGGTGTTTTGATGTTTGGGCCACCTGGTTGTTCTAAAACAATGATCGCAAAAGCTCTTGCAACAGAGAGCAAAGTAAATTTTTTAAATATAAAGGTAAAGTTTGATTTAAAATATCTTAATTTAAAAAAAAAAATAATAAAAAATTCAATACTTTTAGGGACCAGAATTATTTTCAAAATGGGTTGGTGAATCTGAAAAAGCTGTAAGAGAAGTATTTCGAAAAGCACGACAAGTTTCACCTTCCATAATATTTATTGATGAAATTGATGCATTAGGAGGAGAACGAAGTTCTTCCGTAACTACGGGAAGTAATGTACAAGAACGTGTTTTAGCACAATTATTAACAGAACTCGATGGCGTCACTGCATTAGGCAGTGTCACTTTAGTAGCAGCAACTAATCGACCTGATAAAATTGATAAAGTTAGTTACATTGTAATAAATAATTAAGTCTTATACAAATAATTTTTTATTAGTTAAAATATTGTTTTTTATAGGCACTTCTTCGACCAGGTCGTTTAGATAGAATAATATATGTGCCATTACCTGATTATGAAACAAGACAAGAAATTTTTGATATAAAATTAAGAAATATGCCAATCGCGGAAGATGTACAAATTCAAGATCTAGTAGATCTTACAGAAGGATATTCTGGAGCAGAAATCCAAGCAATTTGTCATGAAGCTGCTATCAAAGCACTTGAGGAAGATTTAAATGCTACTATAATTACTAAGGAACATTTTAAAGCAGCATTGGCCATAATTACTCCTAGAACTCCACCATCTTTAATAAATTTATATAATGATTATATAAATAAAATATATTGACATTACAAAGAATTTGTTTTAATATAATTGAATTTGTCTATTTTAACAAGATTATTAATTACCTATCAATATTCTTCTATTATTTTAATATCAAACTTCAGGTTTTCGGAAATTAACAAAATTTATTAGTTGTATATTTATATTATCAAATGTCAGTAATCGTAAAATGTATAAGACCTTATGGTAAAAAAGATTTAAAACAGATAATTGAAAGGTATGATAGTCTTATGACTTGATAAATACAATATGATTACTTCGAATATTGTTATATATAGTTGCGGTTGCTGTCCACCAATGGATCCACAATGTCCACCATTATGCTCTACGTCGTGTCCACCACCTCAACCAATTTGTACCTACACATGTCCTCCTCCAATCAAATTGGAATCAAATAATTGTTGCCCATCTATGCCAATCACCTGTATGCCATGTCCTCCTGAACCACCACTTTTACCTTGCGCCCCACGTTCTTTCGTTTGTCCGCCCTGCACAGGTCATCCATGTATTACTTGTGCACCTTTACCTAAGCCAGTTCCTGCTCCTTTTGAAGTCGGACCTGTTTATAGAGCACCAGTTACTACTGGTGGATTATTCTATATGGGAACAATTAGATGTTATCCTTGCTCATAAGTTTGTTGAATTATACCAATTTCTATCTCTGTTATATAATAAATCCATGAAGAAAATATTTATCATTTAAGTTTAATATTGTTTAACTTGAACTTTGGATTAATTATAAATATTTGTACACATTTTATATTCAAATATAAAACAAATGTCATTACAATAGATTGTTTTTTCGTTCAAAATGGCTGTTTCGTTCGATTAATTTTTTATATTTAATTAATTTTTATATTTGAAAAATTCTTGTTTACATTTACAAGTAAACGAATTGCAAAATGGAATATTATAATTCCAAAAAATTATGCGATCTTTGTCCATTATTTCATTTTGATAGACCCAGTTGTGCAATAACAACATGTAATTTACCCTTATTAAATATTGAAAAACATAGAACTAATCAACCATATCATCCAAAAATAGAATCAATAAAGGCTGTCAGGTAAGAATTTAATAATAATTTATTAAATCTTGACATAATACAAATTTTCATAATAATTAAAAATTTCTAAAATGTTTGCACATTTACTGACATATTTTAATTATATATTGGAGATTTAAACAACCTGTGAATTCGCCTCAATATTGTGGTGAATGGACAAATTTAATGTATCGTCCTATTATACAAGGAGGTTTTAACTATCGGGGAGTATATAAATTATTTCCTATAGATATTCCACCAAATTCTCCTGTATTATGTCGACCTACTCCTATTCCACCTACCGATTTTCGAGGAATAACCGTATATTGTCGTCCATAATGTTGCAATGTATTTAATTTATTTATTTAATTTAAATTTAAATTAAATAAATGTAAAGTATTTATTAATAAAATATTGGTTCGTTTCTATATTGATATTTATGTATATTTATGTATACATATATGTATAAAAAGTGAGGTTATACGTTTATATTATAATTAAGATTAAAAATAAGTTAAATTTAAAATAAGTAATTAACATGGATGCAATATGGAATCACATGGAATTAGAACGACCTCCAAATGCAACTTGTCAAATTGACAATAAAATATTTGGTAAGTTTAATTTTATTTTTATTTAAAATAGAGGAAAAATTTAAGAAATATGAATTTAAAAAATAATTTATTTAATGAAAATAATTTTTTATTATTATTAGATGCAACGAAATTTTTATTGGTATTAGATAGAACCATAAAAGACTTAACTTCTCAAGAATTATTGCATAAAGAAGCAGCAATTTTAAGTAGACTGATTTATCGTATGAAAACTAAATTTCGAAATGACAAAGGTGTCAAATCAATGTCTAAAGTAAATAAAGCTTTGCTTAAATATTTATCATTATCACTTGAAAAAGAATATGAGAAATTAAAGAATAATGTTGAAATAAATGAAAAATATGTTACGTTACCTAGTAAACAAATGGTAGAATATGTTTTGATTAGAACACAAAGCTTTACCAAAATTATGCTACGTGTGGAAGAAGTTTCTAAATATACTGCACATTTTCTTAAATGTAGAATAAATTTAGGTCATGCTTGGTCTATTGCTCTTATTGCATATGCTGTTATTAGTAGAATCTGGTATGTTATTTTTATAATATGTAATAAATTAATGAATTGATTCATTAATTGAACATTAATATATATTATCATAGGATTTTATCAAGATATTTAATCAAAAAAGCATGTACATGGTATAATGATTTATATCATTACCTAAATTTATTAAAAATTGTTGGATTACATTGGCTCACCAACAAATATGAACTTACAAATGATTTAAAATCATGGTTATCAATACCATGGGTGGATGAACCAATTCCAAGGTAAAAAAAAAAAAATTTAGTATAATAAATATTACTAAATCTGTATATAAATTAATTTATACTGTATATAAATTAATTTATATTTCCACAGTATTCCCAATGATTATGGATTAAAAACTACAATGTTTAAATTAATCACTCCTTGTGAATATGATTCAGAGGAGATAGATAGAGAAGATCTAATTTTTAATACACAAGATTATAACAAAGAAATAAAATCTGAAAATATATTTTCATTGACAAAAAATGAAAATATTGTACATAATTTAATTCCAAATAAAAACAAAAATAATATTTTTAATGATGATACAGGAGGTAATAAAATTATAAGTTAACAATTATATAATAAAAATATTTACATGCAAATTGTAAATAATTTAAATAATAAAACTTTTTTTGTTTTATAGAAATTATAGATCGCCATGATTTTAATTTAAGATGTATTCAAACTACATCAATGAATACTAAAAAAAAAAACGAAAAATTCGATAAAACAAAAGAAAAAAAAATATCCGATGAATATAATCAAGAATTTTATATCGGAAATATTGCAAACGAATTTATAATCAGAGAAAAAGATATAAATACTAAAATAGAATTAAAAAATTTGCCAAAAAAAAAAGAAGTCAAAAAAAATTATTTACTTTTCATGATGTCAATAATAAATCGGATTTAATTATACTTTTAAACAAAGAATCGTATCCTGGCTTGGATAAATTACGATGGAATATGATTAGAAATAAAAACAAAAAATTACTAGATAAATTAGATGTTTGTTCTAACGAAACAAAACAAATCTATTTATTTAAAAAAATATTGAAACGCATAAAAAAATGGATTGCATAAATAAATTCAATCTGTATAAAAATTAGATTAAAAAAAAATTTTAAAATAAATATATTTTTAATTAAAGCTGTTTTATTTAATTCCTTACTTTATACTTTATTTTTTTTTACTTTTTTAATTACTTTTTTAATTTTTAATTAGTTTTGGAAAATAATAACAAAAAACATTATATTTAAAATATTGAATACATTTATTGTATTGTATTTGTATTGTATTGCAATATCGTAATATTTTTAATTGATATTGAAATAATTACAATTAATTTTAAAGATTAAGTTATGTTAAAAAAATTAGATTTTAAAACTTGTTGTAAAATATTTTTATTTTTATATTTTCTATTATTGAAATATCTCTATTAATTAAATTCTTTATAATTTACAAATAAAAGAGAATTAAATTTATTCTCTTGACATTGTGATAGAATCACAAATAAGTGTATATGTTATCCCAAAGAATGCTATTCATGGAATCATGGAAGAAGAAAATTAGGTAAATAAACGTAAGTATAATAAATAAATTTGGATAAAACTTTATATATATTATACTGATCACTTGCACCTTTTTATAAATCAATATGGCATATATATATATATTAATTTGTGTATACATATCTTAATCTTATCATATATATAAATTAATTAACTTTTTGATATATTACAAAAGATATATATAGAATATACATATATATTTTATATTTCTTTATATGTTTTTTATTATATTATTATTATAATATTATTATATTATATGTTTATGTTATGTCATATATTTTTTTATATATTTTTAAATTCTTATTCTTATTTTATATCTTTTGCAGTTTTATTAATATAATATCTAAGAAAGATAATATAAATATGATAATTTCTAAAATTGTTCAAAAAAAAATATTAGTATTAACATAACAGCTCTAAAAGATAAATATTTCGAGAAAATATAATTAGGTATATAAAATTTAATAATGTTCTTTTTTCTTAATTCTTAATATTCTAAATATTTTTAAAAAATTCTTTCTATATTCTACTCTCTCAATACAAACTCAAAAAATTGGTCAAAAATTTTTATATTTCAGATAAAAGTCGAATAATTTCAAGACTATATTCTGATGTCATTGATTTTTTTCGTATAAGAACGCATAAAAGACTTGTGAAGTCAACTTTATTTTTGTAAATAATTATTATTAGCTTACAAGATATTTAATAATAATAGTTAAACTAATTGTTTTTAGTTCTAAGTGACTTAATAGTTTTTTCATAAAGAATAATTTACTGTATTTATTTATATTAAAAAAATTATAGTTCCATTTAGAATAAATCTTCAATAAAATTAATCTTCTACTTCCTTTATATATTTATCGACGAAATGTTTTCCATATATATTGCAAAATTAAAATATTTATTATTATAATTAAAAATAATCTTCGAGTATATATAGCATATAATATATACATATATTTACTTTTAATAAAATATACATAAAATGATAAAATAATATTAATGACAATAATATTAATGTAAATGACAAAATATATTAAATACTTAATATAATTAGTATATTAAGAATTGTATATATATTGATATTTGGATATAACCATATTGTACATCGATTTCACCCTGATTTTTAATTCGAAATCAAATTGTTTTTTCTTCATGTTATTAAAGCAATAAAACAGGAAATTCGAGTTCCACATATTGGCACATTCTCTGCTACTGCTGGATTTTTCCAAAAGTCCATACGTTTACTACAGATGTAAGAAATATGTTTATCTTCCAATTTTTCCAATTTTTATATTTTAATCGAATTAAAGTAATTTATTAAAAGATATTTGACTTTATTTAAAACATTATTAATTAATTTTTATTAAAAAATGTATAAAAAAATTCATGTCACGAATAATTTATTACGCTTATATTTATCGAATATCAAAGTTAAATAAAAATAATTATAAGTTATTGCATTTATATCGAATGATTTTTTGTTTGTCAACATAATCAATGATAAATGCAATTAATTTCTAATTCAATTTTTAATTTTAAATTAAATCTATTTTATAATTTTTTGAAAAAGTAACTATTTCAAATGTTCAGAACATTAAAATTTTTATATTTGTAATAAATATTAATATTTATTTATTTTTATAAAAATTAAAAATTTTCTTATATATAAGAAATAATATTTCAATAGCGCAATTTATGTTCTGGTTTAGTATTTCATTGTTAAGTGACAAAGAATCTATAATTTTTATAAAAAATTAATTTAATAATAAATAAAAATAGAATTTTTAATATTTATAGTTAAATTCGAAAAAAAATTATAATAAAATAATACATGTATAATACTTAAAATTTATATTAAAAAATATAAAAAGAATTTTAGATTTATATAATACAATTTAAAGAGTTAATTTTAAAGATGTCAACTTACAAATTTTTTTACTGATGAATCCTAAATAGTAAATAATAATCTTGCTGAGAATCGCTGATTGAAGATATATCTCATCAAATCTTGTTTCTTCCTTAATTCTTAACGCACATTCAATTGCATTTTTTATCTTGATACGATATTTAAAAAAATTTCTGATTCGAAATATTGCTGTAATTAGAATTCTCTAATTCATTATATATTGATACAGATTTATCAAAATTAGTTAATTTATATAATTCAAACATAATATATATATTATAATATAAGATTTAATGATATAAATATATATTCAGTTTAATATATAATTGCGAGTTTTTTTTATACTTTTCTTATATTTCCAATATGTATTTATTTATTTTAATAGTAACACTATATAGAAAATAATAGTAATACTATCAATTCGATAGTTTGATGCAATATTCGTTTGTGATAGCATTTGTGCTGAAAATAAAAAAAATAATTACAAATGTATATTCATCTTTTCCTTTAATTTATATTTTTATTGAAACGACTCAAACTGGGATAATAAATGATTCTTTCTCTGCGCTTATAATCCGTATGTGGTATAGAAATTTCACACTCCAATAGTAATGGTTCTAGAGGATTTTTTATGATTGCACTGCGTTTTGCAGAAAGGATAGTCTTATATTCCAATATTTTTACAGTTTTATCATAATAATTATTTACTTCAATTCCTTCTATATAAATTTTTAATATTGGCCGTGGCTGTGCTCCGTTTGCTATACATGTTAAATTTAAATGATTTTTATTGAAAGAAGAAACATGAATAGTTATATCAGTTTCAGGCACTGTAATACAATATCAATAGTTTTGTATTTATTATAATATAAATTAATCAAATATTATTATAATACTTATAATTATAAACTTACCATAAACAATCATTTTTGTTCTTTTCATATCTTCTTCTTGAAATGTGCTAATTGTACAAGTATATTGTCCACTCATTTCAACAATAGCCATTTTTAAATGTATGATAGATTTTGAATTAAAATATCTTAAACTTCGTTCAGAATATTCGGTAAATCCATTTATTACTCCTGTATCTTGAGGTGGCACTAAAATAGCAAAAAAAAATATGTCATATATCGTACAGAATTACAAGAAGAATTACTAGAATTCAAAAAATTTTAATATTTAATATTACTTGGTGGTATCCATTGATAAATTTGGTCAATGTTATGGTACCATTTTATTACGAGACCGTTTTCTTTTTCTTTGATATTATAAATACAGGATAGATCAATTGGTCCAGTTCCATTACGTACAACGAGTGGTACGTCTAAAGTGTAAATTTTTGAAGCATATATATCTAAAAAGCAATTATCAATAATTAATACTATTTAAATTTATTAATAATAGTTTTTAAATTCAAACATTATATTTAATAATATAAAATTTAAAAATGTTGTTACCTGAAATGGGGATTTTTATTAATGTAACAATAAAAAATAGAACGCTATATGTAACTGACGACATTTTCTACAAAGATTAGTTTTCAGACTGATGAACAATTAAACATGCCTCGTTAAACTTAATCAAGCGCAGATGAAAGGTTCTGCGCAGATACCGATTATTTTGTTTATTATTATTATATTATTAAAATAATTTATATTTAAAAAAAAGATACTAACATGCTATTAATTCATTTAAAATATTTATAAAGATTCTTATTTGTAAACATATTTTTTATTTAAGTTTTTTTTATTTCATATTCCATTATAATACTTTTTAGTTATTTTTTGAATTTTTTAAAACGGCCTTCTTAATTGATAATCTTTCCAAGAGATGGCAGTTAAACTTCTGTTAAGTTTCAGTTGAAAATTTCTAACATCAAGTATGTTTGCTCTATAGAAAGCACACTTACTTAATATTTTTAATTTATAAAATATTGTATATAATAAATAATAAATGTATTAAAATTTATACATATATATTTTTATTTATTATTAATATAATTAAAACATATAAATAATAAAATTAATTTTTAATACTTTGATTCAATTTCTTTTTTAATGAAAAGTTCGCATAACCATCTAAATGATTATTGCTAATTTATGGCTAAAAGAACTATCATCTTTAACGTTTTTGTCATTTGAATAATGTGTACAGAACAATCAGTAACAATTTTCTACTGACGTTTATTGTTTATTGTTTATTCTTAAACTCAAAAATAATTAATAATGAATGACGATCCACGAGAAGTACTTGTTCTTCTTAATTCCTTAGGATTTGTTGGAATTACTGCTCAACAACTTAAAGCATTTATGAAAGGTAATAATCATTAATATTTTTTTTTATCGATAATTGATGTTTAAATATTTTATAAATATTGTACCTAGTATATGTTTTGATTTATATTTTTTTTTTTGTATTAAGATTTAAAATTATATAGAAAGATAAAAGATCGTGAAAGACAACAAAAAAAAGAAGAAATTAAAAGAAAAATAATAAATAAGCAAAAAAATATGATTAAAGAAATTCTTAGAGAACAAAAAACAGAATTTCATTCAGTTGAAAATACTGTATCAACTAATTCTTCTAGTTCTTATATTGATGACACCATTGTAAAGGTAAAGTTGACAAAATTGTCGTGTGACAAAGAAAATAGAAATTCTATAAATTTCAAAGAAAACTATGCAAATACAAGACACAAAATGGATATTATACAATCAAAATCTATGAAAACACAAGATCATTCTAATATTAAATCTAACTCTGTATCAGATAATGAAGATGATAGATTTTGTATAAAAAATAAAAGTAATTGTGAAGAATTTTTAAAAAAGGATTTTCATATAGAAACCCATGATAAAACAAATATGCAACATGATAAAATATTAAATCAAAAAAAATTACCATCTCAACAATCTTTTCGTCCTATGAGTGCACCAAATATTTTAGAGCACCAACATTATAAATATGTTACAAGTAGTCAAACAAAAAGTACATCATCTACAAAAAATACTCATTCTGGAACAAAATCATGTAAGATGTATCACATTATATATATAATAAAATTTTATATTAATATAGTATAAAATATAATAAAATTTTATTAATATAGTTATTAGACCATGGAGATTACAACCAGAAGCTCAAAAAAATAATATGTTGGAAAGACTGATCCTGTTATATTATATCAAAAATATCAACAAGAATGGAAACAAATGTCATTTCCTGGAGAAGCAAAACATGCAAATATAAGATGGGCAATTCGTGAAAAAATGTTAGGTACAGATCCTCATCCAATGGTAAGAATTTTTATTTTTATACCATTGTAATTATCACTTTATGTTTAATGTTATTAATATTTATATTATTATATTTATATAGCCTCTTCCTAGAAAATCAACTAGTATGCCAACATTGAAGAGGAAATGACTTTTATTTGTAATTAGAATGTGAATTTTACCTCATGACAAATAAATTAATGAAAATAATTTTGATATAATTAAGATTGTTATAAGATATCATATATTGTTATACAAAATAGATAAATTTTTATAAATAATAAATATATTTCTTCTGTATTTTTCAATTTTTATTATTGATTAAGTTTAAATTTTGCCATTATTTTACGAGAATCTGGTCTGTGCAAATGATATAATATTTTATCTTCAATTAAACGTGCAGCTCTTTCAGTGAGAACTAAAGTATCATGTTTTAACATACTATAGACATTTAATCCTGGAAAATAAATAAAGAAATAATGAATCTAAAATGAAAATTAAGTATATTAAAATTTATAAATATATAACTTACCATATACAGGCATTAAATTTATATGTTTTATTGTGTCTGTAGCTTCTGTAATGTTTATTGGCATGATATCATCAGTATCAACAAACAGTACAGAAGGACCCCAATGTCTTTCTTCTATTAATTTTTCAATATATGATGGTTCATTTGATGGTATTTCTAAATCTTTAATAATATATAAATCATCTTGAGCTAATTTAATAGATAATGTAGATGTAAGTCCATTAACACGACTATAAAAGGGCAACATATAGAAGTGAGTTGTAGGAGATCTAGGTCCATGTATAATACCACCACCTCTCCATAATGGAGAACGTATACTTCCATGACGTGCACGGCCTAATCCTTTTTGTCGCCAAGGTTTTTTGCCACCACCTCTTACTTCTGAACGCACTTTTGTATGTGCATAAGACTAAAATGAAAAATTAATATATTTAATTATAATTTTAATTTTCAATAGAAGCGATTAATAAAAATAATTACCACGAAACGATACATTTTTTGCCATTGCACATTTTGATGTATTATATCTATCCTAGGAGCTGCACCATAAACATCAGGGTGTAAGATCATAAGTCCCAACTTTTTTCTTTGAATAGTATCTAAATTTTCTAACCACACTTCTCGTGGTTTTTGATAAAAATAATTTTCATCTGAATAATTTTTCTTAGAAATAATTGGATTGATTTTTTCCATAATAGTCTTTGTACAATATGTTAATCCTTGATATGAACATGTTTGTAATTTTGTAATAATTTTTCTAAGTTTTAACATATTAATAAACAATTTCTCTTTAGATTCAAATTAAATATATTGCTTATAATATAACAATAACCTAAATTGTTTCTGAAAATTCTTGATTTGATGTGAGATGTCGCTAAAAGCGAAGATTTTATAGATGTCACTGAATATGAATTGTTTGCCTTGTGTAACAATTAATAATTTTAAAATTTATTATTGTTAAAATCATTAGTATTAGAAATTGATAATTTAAAAATTTCATATTTGTTACTAAAATCAATAATATTATATATATTTTTTAATTTATATTATTAATAAAATATGTACGGAAGAAAAGCTTTTCAACTTATATTAGAATTAGATTCATGCACTGATATATCACAATTTAATGTAAGTAATATATTGAATTAAAAGTAATTATGGAATATTTTAGAAAAAAAATATTTTTTTTATAGGAGGCATTAGTTAAAGAAGTTTTAGAAGAGATGCAATCATTATACAATGCAAATATGGCAGATAGGTTTGTATATAAAATATAATAATATAAGAATTATTTGTAAAATTCAAAAAGAAATTATTGATCAAATATATTTTTTTCAGCAATGCTATTAGGAATGATGATAATATGGCATTATTACCATCAGTACAGTTAAGACATATAGCATTAACAAGAAATAAAAGATGTATCTTAGCATACATATATAATAGAATGAGAAAATTAAGAGAGTTACGCTGGGAATTAGGAAGTATTTTACCACCAGAAATAAATTCCAATCTATTAAATGCTGAAATTCAGTGGTTTCAATCATATAATAAGTCTTTAGCTACATATATGAAATCTTTGGGAGAAGATTATGGATTTAATTTAACAACAAATATCTTACCTCCAAAAACTCCTTATGTAGAGGTAAATAAAGTGAAAATACAAACTTTATTATAAAAATGATTTAATATAATAAAATATAATATTTTAGGTAAAATGTATAATGGATTTTGGAAGATTGGAATTGGAAGATGGACAAGTAATTTTGTTAAAAAAAAATACATATCATTTATTACCAAGATCTATATGTGAACCATTAATACGACAGGGCATACTTGAACATAATAATATATGATATTGTTATTTTTATGAAATATTAAAATAAAAATTATAAAATAATTAAATACCTTGTTCCTATACTATATATATTTATTTATATAATTTATTTATGAAATATATAAAACATTTGAATTCTTTATATAAACGAAATTTTCATATAAAAAAAATTATTATTAAGAATTGTTCTTAAAAAATTTATAAGCCCGCATATTACTATTACTATCTATTTTCATTAGGAATTTCCCGTTTAAACTTGAATTCTATATCGTAGCGCGCAGTTCGTTCAAATAGTTAGACGTTGCAATACGTTACATTGCATCTTACTTGAGTAAATTATTCATCTATTTTTGTATTAAAACTTATATTTAATATAATATATCAAATATAAGTTTTAATATATTATATATATATACATAAAATGTACAATATAATTCTAGTTTTTCTTTTAAATGCAGAAAACGTTACAAACGTTACAAACAATTCACTATGGATCAAATCTATTCATCGTATTTGCGAAAAAATTTTTAATAGGTAAGTAAACACTTAAAAAATAAAAAAATTTTTTTTTATAAATTTATGTTTTTTTATGTTTTTTCAAATCTTATCATAATTTTTATGAATTTAAAATTTTGAGCAGGTTATAGAAAAAAAAATTTCTTAAAAAATAATATCTATTGTAGTTTTTTAATTTATAAAAAAATATTTATAAAATATATATTTAAATGAATTTACAAACATAGAAAATTATTGGAAAAATAAAATTATTTCAAATATATTGAAAAATTATCCAATTCTTTAGCTATTTCGCTTCTGAATCATTGTATTTTTCCAGATGTTGAATAATTAAAATATCATTATATATTTAACTTTGTGGAATATAAATAAATAAATAATTTTTAATCATTAAAAAAATAAATAATTTTTAATCATTAAATACAAATATTCGTGAAAAAAATTCAAACATTTCTCAAACATTTTCACTTGTTTTTGATCTTATAGTTGAAAGTAAAATTGATATCGGAAAGTGAATCATTAAAAAATTTTAATGCAGATATTATATTCGATAAGCAATGATTCGATGAGCTATTTGATTTAAATTAGTGATAATTTATAGTTTGCTGATAAAAAATAAAGAAAAGATATTATCTTATAAGCTAAAGATACAATACATGTTTTAAGTTTATCAAAATTTAGGTTTTCCCCAGATAACTTGGATTATGGACTAAATTTTGATTTACTCTTGTGAAAAAAATTTGATTAAAATCGTGAAGTTATTGATAAATTTTTTACATGCTAATTCATCAATAAATTGAATATACATAATATAAAAAAATTTCAATAATTGTTTTATACAAATTACATATAAATTAAATATTTACGTAATGTTCGAATCATTACTGACGAATAATTATATAATTTATTTATCATCAGATTAAAGGTTAAAGCTATTGTTTATAGGTGTGTTTTTAATCTTCTTTCACTATAATTTATCTAATATGTTTCAATTAGTAATCATTTTCTTATTGTGTAATCATTCAAACTATAATACATAATATATACATCGATTATAACCTGGAATTATAGCTATGCAGACTGTCATATAATAATAATACAGATATAGATTTCTTTTGTTTTAAGATTGAATACCATTATTTTGGAAAAAAACTATATTTAATGACCATGAATAGGACCAAGGTTTGTTTTCAAAATTTCTGATTCAGATCGCTGTATTAACTTATCTAATCTCTATATCGTAACGTATTAACTATTGAGATTATCCGTAAATATCAGTAAAGTTTCCAAATCGGAAATATCAACGGAATTCCCAATGAATTCTCATATAAATTATTCGAAAAGAAAGTAGAACAGTGAAAACTTCATTTCTCTATAGAAAGGTAGAAATGTGTTTGAAATGATTGTGACAAAGAAACACTTTCTCATCGAGCCTTAAATATTTGGTAAAATTTAATTGAAATTCATAATAATCTATATATTTAAATAAAAATTCATTAGCGTTTGTATTCAATTAGCGTTAAAAATTTTTTTATGGTCAACTAAAAACAAAAAACATAAAAAAAGAAATAGAAAAAAATAAAAATAAGATCGATTATAAAAAGAAAATGATTTTATAGAAAATGCACAAAGTTAAAAAATTTCTTACACTTGATTGAATATTGTAAAAAATTTTAACATTATATCTACTTTTTGTTTGGTTTCATTCTTCTTCAGGTTCTTTAAAAAATAAAATAATTTATCGAATATGCAATAATTATTTGAATCAAATAAATAAAATGATAGATATAAATCAATAAATTAAGGTTATTATAATATTTATTAGTTTAGAATTCTGAATTCAATTTTTTTTATTCTAATTCATTATTTAAAGAATGCCAAGTTAAAATAAGTACGCAATGTATACGTGCAGCTGTCCCTGTTAGAGAATGATGGGTTTTTCCACCCCTACCTTTCCCCTTTGAAAGCTAATAAGCCATTTATCCGCTAGAGGTTCCACTGTACACTATGGCCATCGTGGAAGTTAATCAGCGCGTCACTTAACATTATACAGTTAGTTCGTTTTTAGATAGCATGTGTAGTGGTGTTTTAATAGAATTATTGAAAATATATATAGTTTTAGTTTTTCCTCTGCTTTTTTCATCGATAACATAAACTCTTATTTACATAACCTTTTTTGTCAAATGAGTTTTCATACCTCATGAAACTCATTTTTTCATAACATGAAGTTATTGTGATATATTATTTGCTAATATTTGTGAATACAGTCAAAACGAGAAAGTGACAATAATAAGAAACGAACACAGGTAAAAAAGCCAGCTGTTAAGACAACAATCGTATGATTGATCCAATAAATGAAATAGTGACGTCGTTTGTAAATTAACGAAAAACAAAACAACAATAAATAGTTCTTGTTCAGTGGAAAAAGAATCGAACAAAATCAAAAAGTTGATTAATTATTCGCTTAAAAAATTATATTAAGAAAATATTATATTAAGAGAAACATGGTGTATGCATAGTGCATTACTTTATCTGTATATGTAGAATCGTATAATAGTTTTATTTTGACGTGTGATCGAATATCGATATTAAAAATGTGGAATTCAAGAACGACACCAATGGAAAGCAATGTTCCAGAGAATGAGCAACAGAAGTGCGAAAAGCAACATAATTCGGGCTACACTGATTCCGGATTTTTATCCAGTGGAAATCTCCAAATCAGTTCAGAGCTACACGACCACGAATTGAATATTGCAACCGCATCTGTTGTTCCGGAACCAATGAGAATAGATAGTGGTGTGGATCTTGACTCAAGCGAAAACTTGAGTCAATTTACATTAAAAAAAGTTACATTAAATCCTTTAGCGAGCAATAAAGTTCAAGTTGAACCTACTGTCGAATTGACTCCAGTAAAAACCGACAAAGTTGTGCAGAACGATGTTTCAACATTGCGACACGAATCGCATCAATCTTCTGAGAAATCGCTCAGTAATAAATCTTGGCAATTCTACTATACACAGAATGATGATGGGGACACGTAAGTAATTTACATATACTCTTTTTCTTCAAAATAATACAATTATTCGAATTTTATATGAGTCATTTTATACTTTACTATATAATGAAGAAGACGTCATTTTTCTAAAATTTCTATATATATATATATATATATATATAATAACTATGATATGAACTAAAC